ATTATAAAGTAAATAGAGATTGATTATATTTGTTAGGGCATAGGTAGTTTCAACAAACTCAGACATGTAGATACACAACTGTGGAAGATATTTATGTGACAGAATTATATTTTGAAGGATATATGCTTTAGAAGACAACAAAATATGATAATAAATAATATGTACCCAAATAAGGTAAAATTCTTAATCTAAAAACCGTCATCAGAGGAATGGCATAAGGTCTCATTCTGTACCCCTCGTATAATAACATCCTGAGAGAAATGACGTAAGGTCCCAACCTATGCCCTTAGTATAAAAGCATCATCATAGAAAAGGCATAAGGCCCCACCCTATAACCCTAGTATAAAAACACCATCCGAGAAATAGCACAAGGTCTAAAACTATAACCCTAAGAACAACAAAATCAGAGAAATGACTCAATGCTACTTACACAAAATAGCATCCATAAGAAGTTCGAGATATAGCTTTAAAAATAGGAAAACCCACCAACAGATACTGCGCTATTTAATCATAATTTTCAAAATAAACTAATCTCTTGAGCAGTCAAAGTGCCACGTTCAGAAATAATTATTTTTCTAACCATTCGTGTCTTTTAATGTCCACACATTGTGTTGCCCTCTTTTACCCAAGGACCTTTCGCTGGCCGTACCCAGTAACCCCAAACAATGGCATCTTATGAATCAGCGTTTCCCTAACATGTTTATTTTCTCGCCCCGGTTATTTGTATACTTCTTCGTGACCCATTAACAAATGTATCTCCTATACTGGCATAAAGTAATCTACTACAGATGTGAATGTCCACACATTTTTCTTATATTATGATGAAAAGCTTTACTCACACAAGACTGTAAAAAAAAATCAAACTTATAAAAAATGTATTAATGAGTATGTTATGATAATGTAACCTAGATTTTCAAACGCTTTTTTTCTTTCTTCTTTCGGCGACCCGGTTATTTTACTTTTGTGACCTGGCCAGAGGCGTAGCGAGGGTGTTTGGCGCCCGGGGACAAGATTCGCGCCCGGGGGGACAAGATCCATTTTAAAGCGCCCCTTTTTCTTTTTTTTTCAACTCTCAAGCCCATTATTTTGATCAATAAAATAAAATCAAAGCACATTTTGGCGCCCCTAACTAGCTGGCGCCCGGGGAAATCTGTTCACCCCCTGCCCTCCCCTCACTACACCTCTGGACCTGGCACTGGGTCGCAACCCGTCGTTGGGAAACGCCTGGTACTCAAAAATATAACGTACATTCCAGATGCTGTAGTTTTTAAATGAGGCTGTAACCTGAGCATCAAAGAGTTTTTTTTAAGGGCTAGATCTTAATCTTACCACTTACTCTCATGGGTAACAATAAGATATTTCGGAAAATACTTTTTAAAAATCATACAAGAAGAATCTGTCAACAGTTATTTCAAAATGCCTTCGTCGTAAAGATAACAGACAAACAAGATGTATGTCTATATTTCTAAAATTAGATGACAATGTGGTACACACCTACCTCTGCATTCTCAATGCCCTAGTGCAGGGGTCGGGAAACTTTTTGTCTGAGAGAGCCATGGACACCACATATTTTGAAAAGTAATTCTGTGAGAGCCATACATTATGTTTAAAACTAAAAATTCAAGTAAATGTGTGCATTTTGTGTAATTTCAACGCTAAAAATGCAATAATTATGTCTCTGAATTCTTTTTAATAACATTGTTATGCTGTTGCTAATCAAAGGAGTCTAAAGAAACTTTTTTTTTTTTTTATAATCGAACATGTGTTTGCGAGCCAGTTGCAGCCATCAATAGAGCCACATCTGGCTCGCGAGCCATAGGTTCCCGACCCCTGCCCTAGTGCCTGTTCAGATTGATGAAATTAGTTCAGTTCGCGTATCAGCAGCCGTAATCAGTTTTTTATTTATGATGACACTGACGGATACTAGGATAGTTTTGATAATAAAGCTACTAGAACTATTGTGATAGGTACACTGCCGTAAGACCTATACTATTTCTTATTTACCACTATTCATATCCATTTTTTTTTACTACCGCTTCGGGACAAAATTATCCAGTAGATGGTTCCGATTTTCTTTATCATTGACCGTTTTCATGGTTGGCAAAGGAAATATGGCTTTAATGACTGTAGCATCAGTTGAAAGGATACATACAAAAAATTTGAAATTAAACGTTTACATTTTTTCCTAAAAATTATATTATTGTGTATGTTTAAACTACCACTGTTCAACTTATTGGAATCTTGTTGAGAAACAGCCACATGATTATGGTACCAATCCCAATTGAGAAAGTTAGTGGCGTCCACCGTCAAGCTACTCTGTTTACAAAAAAATGTCCCTTAACCCCGTTAGGTCATAAATGTTATTTTTAAACTACTAGCCAAACAATGACGGCCGCAAAGCGTGAACTTCCCATCTACTTAAAGTTACTTGACAAAATATGCATTCAAGTAACGCAATTTACCCCCCCCCCCCTTTTTTCTGAACCACATTAATATTCTATTCTTATACACATTAACATGCTTAATTTAAAAAAAAAACAAACATAGGCGTGTGGGGCAACGCCAGCCTTATGTAACTTTTGCCCTATGCGAAGCACCCGTTCGGCGCCCCCTTCCCTGTCCCTGTATGGCTCCGCTCTTTTTCCGATTACGATGTAGGCTACGGAGCACGTGTTACGATTCTAGATAAATGTAGCTAACCATACGCCTTTTAACATGCACATTAATGTAGACTGTTTAGTTTCTTTTCGGTACTTCCCACTTCACTGTAATAAACGAAGGGAATTTAAATATTTACTGGGCGCCCCAAGCGCTCCTATAGCGAGGGGACCAGGTCGCACACCTTAAAGGCCAGCGTTGGGTGGGGGGTTGAGGGGGAGAAATGGGGGACCACACGTCACTTAGCTCTTTAAAACGTTGTGTAAATTTTGTAAATTTTTAATGACAGAACATGGAAATGTTTCAATGCAAACAATGCAGTATGCTGCTCCCTCCTAGGATATGTGTTAAATCCTGTTCAACATTACCAAATGAATGCAAGCTACTGAATGGCTTTATTTCGGGGCAGCGATGTCAACCATTGGGTGAAGGAAACGCTTGTGTGTGACAGCCTATTAAATAACCCCAAGCAATGAATCTCTAGGTACATATGTAGTATGTATGTAAGGCTGCTGTAACGCTATGTCTAATAGGCGCATACAATAAAATTCCCAGAAGTAAGCACGGATTGGTGCGTTTTTTAATAGAGTGCTTGACTTGAATGGAATTTTTTCAAGTAACTTTTGTAGATTGGAATTTCATGCGTTACCACCGCCATTTTCAAGCGGATTTTTGTTCTAGTCACAACTAATAATTCTGTGGGTATGTATGCATGGCTGCCACACCGTGATCAATAGGCGCGCAACATAAAATTCCCAGAAGTTAGCACTCAATACACTTTGTATAAAGTGCCTTATTTTAATCATGTTTTGTCAAGTAAATTTAGCAGATGGGAAGTTCATGCACAGCCGCCACATATTTTTTTGTGTGCACAGACATGAATTAAATTATAGGTAAAAGTGGTTTTAGTGACTATTCAAGTAAAATTTTATTTTTTTTTTGTTTAGGTGGGGGTGGGGAATAAAATGGGTATTATCTAATAAATGTCCGAAAAATATACGGCCCAATGATAGAAAATGATATCTGGAGAATCCGTACAAACCAAGAACTTTATCATTTGTACCAAGGCCAACCCATAATCACAATGATTTTTAAAAAAACGCAGACTACGCTGTGCAGGACATGTTGAAAGGACGCCAGAATGTAGAGCAGCTAAAGTTACCAGTTGGGGGTTCGCGCATGGAGGCGGAAAGCCATGTATCGCTCCGAATGGAATGATGTGGTGGAGCAGGCCAGGGCCCTACATAAGCTGTAGCGCCACTGACGATGATGATGATTATCTAATAAATAGTCATTCCTTTTAACTCTGTGTATCCCTGACACGGTAAATATTTTTTGAATGGTGTGTTACTTATCTTTAATAACTACCCATCCGATGTCAGACGGAAATGGTTTAAGAACCGCTACGGCCAAGTAATATATTTTTTTTTATCATACATCTTATCTGATATATGTTCAAGATTTTTATCTGCAATTCGGTGTTACAATAAAAAAAAGTAAGTAACGTATTTAGAAAACAAAATAGTCTTTAGTATTAAAACTAATGATCAACACGGAGAATGGACATTATTTTGACACTCGGGATTGATCAGTTCCAAAAGAAAAAAAAAGCTGTAGTTAACTAACTATACCCATAAAACATAAAATTTTCGGAAGCAGAAGTTCAGTTTGAAAACAGAAGAGCAGCAATGAACTTAGGATGAACGTTAAGTCAAGCTTAAATTAGTTTCCACCACATAAAAATCACCATCTGACAACCACTTGCGTTTCCTATTAGCAATCCCATCAGAGCTAGAAAGCTCTTTCAAATCTGTTTGTTTGTTTTGCAAAGAGAGTGTTAAGAATAATTATGCAGGTGACTAAATGTATCAAAACATCGACTGTAATCTCGATAACAATTACGCTCTAAAATTAAACTGTTCATGAACACCAACGCCATAAAAATCACAGTACTTGTAGCCTTGTTTCACTATCAATGGTGCGATCAGTATGTTGGCAATCAAGGTCAACAAATCTTTAGAAAACCTCCGAAATGAGTCCGCGACAAATCAACCCAACATGAAGAAATAATTTGTTATACATGTTTTTTTTAAAAGGACTGACAGTTTTGGAAAAAAAAATATTTTACTGTAAACTACACTAAACAATAGAATAGTTTATTATTTTTAGATTTAACATGGTATCAAGTTGCTCAATTAGGAAAATATTTATTTACCCCAATCTTAATTAATATCTGGACTTGGCAAACAAGAGATGGTTGGGGGAGGGGGGGGAGAACCTCAATATAATAATCTGCTTATATCTGGGCAATCAACGATTATCTCCCTCGTCGGTCACATGACATTGAAGATAACAACATTGTTTAAATAAAGTACCATTGGCGTGCGAGTCTCCTCCAAAAAGTTGATACCTTGGGGCTGGGACGCAGATTAAAGCTTGTGTCATTTTAAAAAGAAAAAAAAAAGGAAATCATCATGAGTGCGTATACGATATTAGTCATTCTGGTATCCGTAGCGAGTATGGCTCTGGCACTGGACAGCTGCACGGTACAGAGACAGTGCTACTGCGAGACAAAGACCAACTTTGTGGATTTAAATCTAATCGGGAACATCACGTGAGTATTTTAACGAATGGCTTTCTTTTGGGTATGCCTTTCTCAAGAAATTTAGAAACTATTTTCTACTCTTTGGTGCCCTTAAACTCATCTTTAAAAGAATTGTATTTTTTTTCATTTTTTAAAATGTTTTTTTTTTTAAATATAGACAGACAAACGATGTTGTTTCAATATTAATGATATGCATAAGTTCAAATGACGTATTTTGGGACTAGTTTTTTTTTAAAAATGAAACTATATTCAAGAGGAAAGTTTGAGCCGAAATTAAATTATACATGACTATTAATTTAATCTATTCCAAAACTTGAAACTTTTCAACCAAGTGGAACCTTAAATTTGATTTAGTGTTTTCAAAAATAGAGACAGTATTTGTTATTAATTGGCCACGCGTTGGAATGCAATTCGACAAATTTTTTTAAAAAAATGTGTAAGTAATCTGTCTACGTCAGTGTCAATGACATGCTCTCAATGGCTCGGCTCCTCTCTGCCAGTGACATGGGATACGTCACCTCAACATCAAACTTATTCTGATTAGACTCTAAATCTCACGTGATAGAACTTGTTTAATTTTATAACGATTGTTTCCACAAATCTAACGGAAAAAATGTGATTATTTGTGTTTGCAGTTTTAATTTGACAGATTCGCAAGGGGGAAGCATTTATTCGATCAGACTTTGTCAAACCCTCAACCTTCCCTATGTTGCCTGCCACTCAGTGCACGTGAGTAAACTTGCCAATTTCTTACTCTTTACAGTTACAGAAAAAAAAATGTCTTGAAACGTTTCAACAAATGTTAGCTTATCACAGTCGATAAAGTCCCTTGTAGAAGCTCAGTTTGAAACCCTCAACAAAAACAGCATCATGCCCAGTGGTTTGTGTTCATCCATGAGTTTAACAACCTCCGCTTGTATTTCAGGGATGTCAGTACAATGTCTTATCAGGACAGAACTATACTATAGCGAACGCCAGCAACCCCGTCTTCAACGACTCAACGACTCTCATCTACCGGGGTGCCAACAGGTGAGTTCTAGCATGCCATTAAGTAATAGACTAACCGGATTGCCGACAGGTGAGTTGCAGCATGTCATTACGTCATAGAGTCACCGGAGTGCCGGCAGGTGAGTCGTAGCATGTCATTACGTCATAGAGTCACCGGAGTGCCGACAGCTGAGTTCTAGCATGCGATTACGTCATAAACTAACCGAAGTGCTGACAGGTGAGTTGTAGCAATTCATAAACTACATACATTTTAAAAATATAATACAGAATTGTAACAGAATCGAACAGTTTTTTTCTTAGCCCATATCAGCTGAAACACATTTAATTTTTATCACAAACTGAACATTTGCTGAACGCGCTGATCGGTGGGATATATACGCTCATTTTTTTTTTTTTAATGTGGATCATTGCGCAGTGTGTAAATGTTTCAAATAGTGATCGACAAAACACTTTGTATTCCCATTTGTGCGCTTTGTGTTTCTATTTTTTTCGAGGCCGATGGCCGGAGTGTCAACTAAATAAATCTCATTTAAGCCTATACTGCAGACTGTGACACACTCTGTTCACACTCTCTTTGATTTGGTTACAACTAAACTATAGAGCACTGCCTTAGAGGTATATGCATGTCTGTGTCAAATTAAGGTTTTGTGGATATTTTGCTTTATGGCAGCATGATGTACTTTTGGCCACATTTTTTTGCGACTGGACCAACAAAGCCAAACTCACACCGATAAAAAAAAAGTAAAAAAAAAAAAAACCAGAGGGGTTTCAGTTGAATGAAAAGTTGAAATCCCTGTAATTTAACTCTTTGACTCCCGACCTGTTTCATGATGTTGCTAACGTCATTTAGTCACAAGGACGAGACCACGTTTATATTGAAATCTAAATCCCGAGAGTAATTGAACAGATGAATAAATTTTTAGAGATCAACAGAGAGGAAATTTATTGTACTTTATCATTAATTTACTTCGAAATAAATATGTGGTATTTTTTTAAAAAATTAATTGGTGTATATCCATATATTTCCCCGAAATGGTTTATAATTGTTTTACAGTGATTTCAATGTTGGTCCCTGCGCAGAGACTGAGAAAGCTACTTTGTGATCTGGCAACAATTACTTTTTTTTTTTTTTTAATTTCTTGTAGTGTTTTGCCTGCTGAAGAAGGCATTTAGCCGAAACGTTCTTTTTTAACCGTTTTTTTTAATCAAAGCCTTTCAAAATATCTCGTTCATCCCTGTTTTTTTACTTCCTACTTTGTGATCTGGCAACAATTACTTTTTTTTTTTTTAATTTCTTGTAGTGTTTTGCCTGCTGAAGAAGGCATTTAGCCGAAACGTTCTTTTTTAACCGTTTTTTTTAATCAAAGCCTATCAAAATATCTCGTTCATCCCTGTTTATTTACTTCCCACGTCTTGAACGCAGTCTGCCATGTATTATTGTGATTTCAAAGCAAGTTCCAGCAGCATTATGCTCTTGTCAAACATGTTATATCCTATTATCCTATCGACTTATGGAACTTTCTTGTTTTTCAGGACCACCGTTGTAAATTTAGTGTGTTCCACACAACAGGACAACTTCACGTTCTCCAATGAGAAGCCACAGTTGACTTACGTGAGTATTCATAACATTATCGCTACTTAAGGAGCAAGGGACCCAACCTGGATAGAAATATCATAAGAACAAAAAACAAGGCCTTTGTAGTTGAAAATTTTGTTTATAAAAGAAAGATTGTATTTACAATACGACTTGAGATCCGTTTATGACCAAGAGAAGGCTGCAGATTACGTCCATCATTATATTGGCAGATAACAGATTTGAGGCAGATACCGGGCGCATCCCACCGGAGATAACGAATTATACACCTTTCTCTCAGAGGCCTATCAAAACAATAATAATTATACATTAAAAAAAAACAATAATAACAAAGGGACATCAAAAAAATAATAAGGAAAATAATAATAATATTAAAAAAATTAACTATAATAAAAAAAACACCAATAATAATTATAATAACGGGTTTTAGCGGATGAATTACCACATGCTGATGTGATGTTCTGTGGAACGTTTCACAGGCGTGTCCCAAGGTTTAGATTTAAAGGAATGGAAAGAAATTTTTAAAAAAAGAGGTTTTGGGTATTTTGTTTTTATATTATTAGACGGGACTCGAACACATGTAATCTACTTAATCAAACGAATTAGCATTCACGTTTGTCATTATCCAACATCTGCTGTTATTTATTTTTTAAAATTTATAATTTTGGTGGCTGGAAATCCCAAAGAAGTTTCGCGACTATTATTTAGGCGTAAGAGACTAAGGTGGGTTAAAACATACTTCAATACTTCAATGTTGTTTGGAGCTAAGGTGGTCAGAGATCAAAGGTGAAGTGCAGTCAGATACATTTATCTACCGATAAACATATATTATTACAAGTACGTAATAAACAATACTTTCTTTGCGAATCAAAAACACTGTATGTCTGGAGGTCGTTACTGGTATAACCGCAGCAGGATAGTAAATATGCTAATGTGAAATAAGTTGTTAGTTATGACGTTGTCAAGGAAGTTTTGATTACATAGAATTTAGCGAGCGCCGGTCACAATAATGAACATGTTTCTCTTTCTAGAACTTCGTCCTTACCGGAAAATCGGCGTGCCCGAAAGACCTTCCGGTATCGACAACGACGACCATCGTCCCCAGCAACACCACCGCCAGCAACACCACCACGCACGCCAACACCACCATAACCACACACCCGCCGACCAACTCAACGACGGTGACGACGACGCCCAAAACATCACCAACCACAACAGCCAAAGTGACCAACGCCACGACCACCACCACCGTCACCACCAAGTCATCAACACCGAAGACTTCGATCACAACACCCATCGCTTCTACGACCCACAAAGGGGCGGCCAGCACTATCAGGTAGGTGCAGTTTTGTGACAAAAAATGGCTACCAATAGATTAGAAATAGATTATCAATTGCACACAAGGGTTCTTAATCAGTAGTGGATTTATCTTTTTTTTTTTTAAAGTGAAGTACGTTGCAATTATTTCATGTTGTCATAGAATGCATGAATAAATATGTCATGATTCGTCTTTATTATCATGATTCTTATAATTGAAATGTATTCAAATACATATATTTTATTAGCAATTTAAAGACGTATATTGCATACAAAGTATGAGAACCCTTGAATATTTTTTAAAAAAAATATTGTGAAATTTAAAGTAATTGTCCTCTGGAGCATTACTAGTTTAACATTTGTGCAACAAATAAAATAACACAGTGTGATGAAGAAAACTGATTATAGTAATTAATCTAATTGTCTTTAACTTAAACCCTACAACTTTCTCGTCACAGCTTCATGACATTATGGACCGTCACATTTGCTGTTTGGCTGTCGTCTACACTTTTCTGATGCATGCACCAGTGCTTGATTATAACAGCGGTCGTATGGGGCCCTACCCATGAATGAGTTTCTAAACATATTTCGTGATGGATAGTCGAGTTTTGCGTCATGTCCACTTTGTTTAAGTTAAAAATATTTAGTTATTCTACAACGGTAAACCCTTGCAAACTCGTATTGTGAACTGAGAACAGTGGCATTGCGATATAAGGCCTTGAAATATGTAATGCTAAAAGTGAAGAAAACAGAAGTTTTATTAATTTAACTGGATTGCATACCATTTCCGAAAATTAGCGGAGAATTCAGACGTTAAGTTTTAAAGGAATATAGATACACATATTATAGATCGTCTCATTTGACGTGTCCATAGAAACTGACTTCATTTTATTCAGAAGAACATCTCTTAGTCAGGGCGTGGGTATTTAGTGACAGCTTATTAAGTTCTGCAAATGACGAAGGCATAATATCTATTACAAAAAAGCTTTCTGATGCATTAATCTCATCGAGCGGCTGCTCAGCGAACATTGTGTTGATAAACTATTTTTTAAAAACAACGTAGTGATTTTGTTGATTTTTCATGTTGTGTTTTTGCTAAATGAAATTAAATGAAAAATATCATTAGGAAATATTGTGGAATGATTGTTTTTACTTTGATTTTGATTGTTGTGTTTATTTTTCTCTGGGTTCCTTGAAGAGGGCGGTGAGCCGTATAGACAAGGGCTTACGAGAAATGGATTTTATATGCTTTATGTTATAAATGGAACTCATGAATTCGTGCTGATAAAAAAAAAAGTTATTATGATTTAAAGGATAAAAATGAAGTGAAATCTCCACACGTCCACCATTTGAATGATTGGGACAGTTTGAATATATTAATACGCTGAAAAAAAAGGCGCAAACTACAATGGTACGGTCACGTGACAAGGAAACGAGGGCTTGCCAAAGAAACCATGCAGGGCACCACAAGAGGAGGGAGAAGAAGAGGAAGACAGAGAAAAAGATGGAGAGACAACATCAAAGAGTGGACGAGACTGAAACTAGGCGATGCTGTGAGACGTGCAGAAGACAGAGACGAATGGAGGAGGATAGTTCACATCTGTGGCGCCCCAACGGTCCAAGGACTAAGGGACATGATGATGATGATGATGAACACGCACAGTAGATTACATCAGTCTTCTAAGAATGTAGTTTTTGACCTTCAGAGTTTCGTCGTCGACATCAGGACACATGTGTCACGGCTTTAACAAACAAAATAATAAATACACGGCAGCGTGCCTTACATTTACAAATTTAAATATCTAAAACAAACTAAAGGGAACTTAATTAAGTGTAAAAAAAAACAACAAAAAAACAAACAATTTGTTAGGTAAGGGAAATATAAGCAGATGTTTTGTGATGACCAACTCAGGGGCACTTGGAAACTAAAATATAATTTTTTTTTTTCATCATCCAAAATACAATGCAGAAATATACAATTGTAGTGAGCAGAAATAATCATTAATAAAACACAAAAACATTTTGACTCACAGAGAACTTGAACAATATGTGTTTAAATTGCTTTGAGCCTATTCATTCGCTAATAAGGTGGAATGTGTTTTATTCAGCTGATGCCGGTCTGAGACTTCAAAAATATACCATTAATCTTAAAGGTCAACATAATTTTGAAATAATTTTTTTTTCTTTGAGTTAATCTTTAACAACAACAAAATAATTTTTTTTTTAAATAAATAAATAAAATAATTTGAATTCTTTTCATAAACTATCTGAGAAAACGCATTCATTTTTTAAGGGTAGCGCGGAATTAAGCCCACTTCCGTTTCATTTCTGAGCCAAACACGATGAAAGGGACGATTGATCCAAACGCACTTCCACTTGATATAATTAGACGAACACATCCGCCAAGATGGGACAACGGGGAGATGGGATAACGGGAAGATGGGGCTAAGGAAAGGTGGGACTAAGGGAAGATGGGGCTACGGGAAGATGGGGCTAAGGAAAGGTGGGACTAAGGGAAGATGGGACTAAGGAAAGGTGGGGCTAAGGGAAAGATGGGGCTAAGGAAAGGTGGGACTAAGGGAAGATGGGGCTAAGGAAAGGTTGGACTAAGGGAAGATGGGACTATGGAAAGGTGGGACTAAGAGAATATGGGGCTAAGGAAAGGTGGGACTAAGGGAAGATCGGGCTAAGAAAAGGTGGGACTAATGGAATATGGGGCTAAGGAAAGGTGGGGCTAAGGGAATATGGGGCTAAGGAAAGGTGGGACTAAGGGGAAGAGGGCATTTCAAAAGTTAAGCAAAGAACAATCTTTTCATTTAACATAAATTTTTACCCTTACTATAGACACACACTCACACAGCCGTACACATGTACACATATATAGGCATACTCTTATATACACCAGATAGCATTCTCAAAACAAAATCTCCTTTGCATACACACATACACACACACACAAAATAACGTTCACTCCTCGTTTCTTGTTGGCCAGAGATCTGGATTAAATAATATATTTTAAAAATTACAAATCCTATATCAGTGTATAAACACCACCACCCCCCCCCCCACAAAAAAAAAAAAAAAAAAAAAAAAAGAGTTAAAAATTTTTAA